ATAATGGGTACACTATAAATATTAATGCCTAGCATAATGTAAAAATATTTTTAATATGCTTCCTTATTTCCATTTGTCAGATACATTAATCTTTAAAGATTCAAACTTATTTCCGTTGATCCCGCCAGACTTAACCTTGATTTCTCGCGGCAGGTATAAACACGTACCTGGCGGCGCATTATCTTCAATACGAGTTACCGGATGAGGTGCTACTCACGATATTCAACTATCTCATGGAGCAAGATCTATGCCGAGTGTCGCAAGTTTGTAAACGTTTCCAAGCAATTGCGAACGACACGGAGCTATGGAAGTCCCTGTATCAGCAGGTTTATGAGTACGATCTGCCATTGTTTAATCCAGCGCCCTGTAAATTTGAGTTTGTATCGCCGGACGAGTCCGAGTACCAGAATCCGTGGAAGGAGAGTTTCAGGCAGCTATACAGAGGCGTGCACGTACGGCCTGGTTTTCAGGACTTGAAGTTTAAGGGCCGTAATCTTCCATACTTTAACACAGTCCAGGGCGCGTTAGACTACGTCGACGAGTACAGAAGCAACAGCAGCGCCTCGGCGAACAGTAGCGCTACAGCTGCGGGCGGGCAGGGATGCTGCAACAGCAATTCGCAGACGAATGGAGAAGACACATCGCCGCAACATTTGGTATTTTTGCACGCCGGCACATACAGAGGCGAATTTCTCGTGATAGACAGTGATGTAGCGCTGATTGGCGCCGCACCGGGCAACGTCGCAGAATCTGTCATTCTGGAACGTGAGAGCGAGTCTACAGTCATGTTTGTGGAAGGCGCGAAACGCGCTTACGCCGGTCATCTCACGTTGAAATTCACGCCTGATGTCACGAGCACGGTGCCCCATCACAAACATTACTGTCTGGAGGTTGGTGAGAACTGCAGTCCCACCGTCGATCATTGTATTATCAGAAGCTCGAGTGTTGGTAAGTACGCTTAATGCTTGTAGATTGAATTGAACAAGTCATCGATTTAAAAAATTTTTTAATTTCAGAACTTATCAAAACTTATTTAAAAACTTCAATTTTCAAAGAATTAAATTTGAACAAAATGATTGCTAGATATATAATTATTCAATATGTATTACAACACTTGAAAAAAATATAACGAATTATCCTCGAGTTCCAAATACTTCCAAGTACTTTATTCCAAAATAATTATAACAAAATTTATTGAAGTTATATATTTTCAATTTTTAGTTGGTGCAGCGGTCTGCGTATCAGGCGTGGGTGCCAATCCGTTAGTAAAGAATTGCGACATATCGGATTGCGAGAATGTTGGATTATACGTAACCGATTATGCACAAGGCACGTATGAGGATAACGAGATCTCACGAAACGCTCTCGCCGGTATCTGGGTGAAGAATTATGCGAATCCCATTATGCGACGAAATCATATCCATCATGGTCGAGATGTAGGAATATTTACATTTGATAACGGACTTGGTTACTTCGAAGCTAACGATATTCACAACAATCGGATAGCGGGTTTCGAAGTAAAAGCCGGTGCTAATCCTACTGTTGTTCACTGCGAGATCCATCATGGCCAGACCGGTGGTATATACGTTCACGAAAATGGCCTCGGACAATTCATCGACAACAAGATCCATTCGAATAATTTTGCTGGCGTATGGATTACGTCCAACTCGAACCCGACTATACGTCGAAACGAGATATATAATGGCCATCAAGGTGGAGTGTATATATTCGGCGAAGGTAGAGGTTTGATCGAGCATAACAACATCTATGGTAATGCATTAGCTGGCATACAAATCAGAACAAATTCGGATCCGATCGTTCGGCACAATAAAATTCACCACGGCCAGCATGGTGGTATTTACGTGCACGAGAAAGGACAGGGTCTGATAGAGGAGAATGAAGTGTATGCGAATACTTTGGCAGGTGTATGGATCACGACAGGTTCGACACCAGTTTTAAGGCGAAATCGCATTCATAGTGGCAAGCAGGTCGGCGTATATTTTTATGATAACGGCCATGGGAAACTGGAGGACAATGATATTTTTAATCATTTATATTCGGGAGTACAAATAAGGTAATTCATACTTCTGAAAGACTGGCAGATCGTAGACCCAATAGTTTTGACGTGTAATTGACGTATAGCAGTAAGAAAATCAGCTGAACATATGTTTCTTATTAATCTAGGACTGGCAGTAATCCGGTAATACGCGGTAATAAGATATGGGGAGGACAAAACGGTGGCGTTCTTGTGTATAATAGTGGCTTAGGCTTACTCGAACAAAATGAGATTTTCGATAATGCAATGGCCGGCGTTTGGATTAAAACAGATAGCAATCCAACTCTTAAAAGGAACAAAATATTTGACGGACGAGACGGAGGAATCTGTATATTTAACGGGGGCAAAGGTAAAGAATTCTCTTTTCAACAAAAATTTAATAATAACTTTCCGGTCACTGACTAACAATAGGTGTTACATGAGCAGCAAAATTCTTTTTATAATCAATTTTTCTCTTGAAATTTAGTTAATTCTTTATAATACAAATTTTTTTTATGCTTGAAAAGATTTACATAATGTAACTAGTAAATATTAATATGAAATATAAACTGACAGTTCTTAACTTTTAAATATTTTATTATAAAAATCAGATTCCTGATATGTAAGACTTGATTCTTTTTTTATTATAAGATATTATTTGGTTATCAAAGAATACAATATAAAATGCTATATTAATTTATGTAAAATAAAATTGAAGTTGAAAATATGGATATATGAATTCAAAGTTATAAAGAATTAATATATTTTGACCGTTTTTACTAAACTTATGTTAACTTATGTTAAAAAACTTATGTTAACTTATTTTAACTTATGTTAAAAAAACTTTATATTAAAATACATTGCAAGCAATTGAGCATTATTGTTCCAATTTAAAAATTATACAAATAGATGGTTATTGAGTATTGAAAAGTAGATACAAATCGTGATTCTCACGTGCCTCGATACAGGTGTTTTGGAGGAGAACGATATATTTCGCAATGCGCAAGCGGGTGTGCTTATATCTACGCAATCGCAGCCTATCCTGAGGAGGAACCGAATATTCGATGGTTTGGCAGCCGGCGTCGAAATAACTAACAATGCCACCGCCACCCTGGAATTCAATCAAATATTCAATAATCGATTCGGCGGTCTATGTCTAGCGAGCGGGGTGCAACCAACGACTAGAGGTAAATATTCATTTCGGTGACGAGTCGCCAGTGCTCTTAACAAGAAAAAACCGCATTTGTCATCTCTCTTTTTAGGCAATAAAATATTCAATAACCAAGACGCAGTGGAGAAAGCGGTTGGAAATGGTCAGTGTTTATACAAAATCTCTTCATACACTTCCTTCCCGATGCACGATTTTTACCGTTGTCAAACGTGCAACACGACGGATCGGAACGCGATATGCGTTAACTGTATAAAAACTTGTCACGCTGGCCATGATGTAGAATTCATCAGACACGATCGGTGAGCTCACTCGTTTGATTTGATGTGTTTTATAATATATGTCCGCCATAGATGGATAATAACTATAACGTAATTGTATGCATATTAATATTTCTAGATTCTTTTGCGATTGCGGTGCCGGAACATTGAGCAATCAGTGTCAACTGCAGGGTGAACCTACACAAGATACGGATACATTGTACGATAGTGCGGCACCTATGGAATCGCATACACTTATGGTCAACTAGGAACTAACCTAAAGTAATTTAAACAATCAAACAATGTTTAGATTCGTAAGTCCAGTAATATTGCGAGCACAGCGCAGTAAATCCGTTGCCGAGTTCTTTATTACATTCTTTACTTCATATTCTCGTCATTATATCATAATTGTTATTCTTTAAACAAAGAATTCTATTTATTGCGAGGATATTTTGTTTTTATTGTTAATATGTGATATATTATGGCGAAATCTGAGTATGTGTGGATAGTATTACTTCTTAATGATATTATAATATTCTCGTTTATTTTTCTTAGATTTTCGAGATTGCCGATCTTGTACCCCGTGTATTGCCCGTGACTTGAACTTTTTTTCTCTTTTCTTTTTTATTTCCTTTTTATATTGGCGCTTGTTACATTATGTATATCATGCGGATAATACAATAATGTGTGTACGATTAGATCATTTACTCGTTAATTTATACACATCTTATTCTGAGCATTTAATCAAGTCAGTTATCTTTCATCTGCTATTAAAATTATTAGATAATAATTTCGATTTATATTATATATTATTCGGTTTATCTTATATTAATTTTATTGCGAGTGTTGTTTCATTTGGATTGGTTCTTGTTAAAGATTTTTAAAAAGAATAATTGTTTCTTTCTGTGGTCCAAACTAATGAAGAACTCGGCAATTGATCGCCAAGAAGCGGTAGTAATAAAATAACAAGAAAAGCCCTCATGTGTAAAACACACAGTATAATATTAGATATATCAAATTAATTTAAATGTTTAAACGAGGGAAATACTAGGATAATCGTAAACCAAACTTTTCACGCGATCCTTTTTATCGAGGTTCTGAAATCTCTAAAATATTCATATAACAAGAGTGCTGTAAAAAAACAAAAGGAAGAAAAGAAACCTGTGTATACGCCATAATGATACTTGGTGTCTCGAAATATGCTCGAACTGCTTAAAACTTTAAGCCCCGATAACATAGATAAGACGAATGTAAGTTCGCACAGTGTGAAATGTATCCGGAATGTAAATTGTGTATATCGAACGCGAAGCCGTACGCTGAGAGTAGATAATACAATTATGTTATTTACTCTCGAGCAGAAAAGCATTAATCCGTAATAAAAAGAATCAACATAAATATAAATATAAATAAAATTTGCACTCGGCACAGTTAATAAAAAAAGAACTTAATCCAGTGTATAAAAAAGGATGCAAACAGTGCGTGTATTGAGTGCCACGCTTGGAATTGCAAAACTGAAAACGTTGAATCATTTCACGCAAGAAGAAAGAAAGATAAAGGATCGTAAACCAAATGGATCACGGAATGTCATTTTTACATGCTATTAAGTGCAATTTCGTTAATATACGATCTAACGAATCCACGTGGTACAAATCTCGAGAAGAAAGAAAAAGAGGAACCAAGAGGCCGGCAAACCAACATGAAGATCTGATACACCGGAACAAATGTCTAAAATATGTGATATACAAAACTCACAGGTGGAATAATCAAAATAAAAATAAACGTGCTGCTAATTTTTCGACGTAAACATACCTCGTAATTAACGCATAACGATTTCGATTAGTCGCGATGATGAATTATGTGATGGTCCTAAGTTGCCCTACGCGGGCGAAGTGCATAATAAGAACGGGATAATAAAAAAAGAAACGAAATTAAAATCATAAAGGAAAAGAGTGAAAGAAAGGTGTGCAGACGTGGAAATGTTACGTCGGTGTATACCAGTGAAAAAGAAAAGAAAACGGAAGCAGTTAAGCGCTTGAAATAGATGATGTACTGTCCGAGGAACAGTTTTTAAAAAATAATCTCGAATTTTTCAGAGTAATCAGATTTTTTTAATTATTACGTTAGTGGATAAAAGAAATCTAATTACCTTATTGTAATATGTAATTTTTCCGGGAGCGGCGCGCGCGCTCCCGTGCGAGAAAAGGAAGCGCCTATTAGCGATATAATTTTAGACCGAAATCACCTTTATTTACGCAAATGGTATACATATATAGATAAGTAGAGAAGAGCGAACTGCCAATGAGGCATCATTATTGCGAATTTTGTTCGAAATTTCGAAACAACATAATTCGTTACTCTATGTGTATATGGTATCTTTTGTATGTCGTATACGGCAAGGAGACGCATGAAAATTGCCTTTCAGCTTATCGACTCAGGAGGATAGCATATTAGATGTATACATACATGTATATATACGTATATATGTATACATATTTACATAATATATGTATACGTATGATCATATATATATATGTACATATACACGATCATGCATGCATATACGCAAATACACATACACATATGGTATGTATATGTTCACAAATAGTACTGAATGGGAGGAGATGTTATCAAAGTGAAAGGCACTTTTCACGTGTGTGTCACATTAAATTTAAAAAAGAAAATCGGGCAAAAATAAGATTGTATATCGAATCTTTGGGTTCTTGAGTGATATATTGTATGGTCTGTTGTTTTGTTTAATAATTGTTCATTTGATGAATTTCGTGGATCTTTTCTTGTTCGACACTTCAAGCGGAGGAACTGCAGAAGAATGCGGCGATGCAACGGATGGCACAGCACGCGATTGTGTATATTGCAGTTACACGTAATCGGGTTCGCCTTTCTGGTTTTCCTTCTTTCAGTTGGAATTATCGATCAGAGTTTACGCCGCTCTCTAAATTGGACGTGCGATGTAGAAATTTATCAAATTATTTGCCGGGCTGTATAAATTATCGATTGAATTAGAACACTGGATACTCTGCGTTATCTTTGGACCGATTCATTTTATTATGTATACATGTATGTTTTGTACAGAGAGATATATGTATATGTAAATAAGTTCTTTCCATTTATCTCTTTTTATTTTTTTTTTTTTATTTATTTTTTTTTAGACAAGCAGTCGAGACGGAGAATCGCGTGCGCCCGTGTACGCGCTCGCGTTCTTCATCTCTCTTCCGAGGGAGAATAAAACGAAACCCTCGGAAGTATAAATTTATCATCGTCCGTGCGGAGCCGTTTTTCCCTTCGAATACGCGAGGGGAGCATTTTTCTGCGATTTCTACCCCCTTGTACACATACGTACACACACACACACATACACACACATACACACAAAAAATGAGAAAAGGAACTTCCCCGTCACAGCGAAACTGTCACTGCTGCTATTTATATGGCGATTCAGCAAAACTCGCCTCTAAATCTACCGTTCTCTACGACATTGATACGACATTAATAACCAGTCTTTGAATATTGTACGGAACTGTTATGTTGACGAAAACTTGCGGCAGGACGTGAGAACATCTTCTAGAAAGACTTGAAAAATATCAGGCTGACATAAATACATTGCTGACGTAGCGAAAGTGCCTCGATAATACTGTAATTATTTCGTAATCTGTAATCTAGAACGACGATAATCCGCAAAGGGTTGTTTCCGAGTAGGATCGGCCTGTCCCACGGCAAGTCTCTTTTTGCCGCCCATAACATAATAACTAACGAAACTGCGTCGCGACAGTGACAAATTCGGCCGTGTCAGCGAATTCTTTTTCTCCGTACAGTTTCCCCTAAGTATGTATGTTGAGTAATGTTTCGAACACATTGTTTTTGCGCAGCAGCCGTGTATATATGTATGTACGTTGTGTAGGACGAGGCAGCAAGCAAGCGGCGAGCGATTCGTGGACTCGTATAATAACTTCCCGACTGCTTCCACACTCTGCCTTGCTCGAGCGTACGCGTTTTACGGCTTACACCCTCGTGACCTAAAACTTCAAAAAAAAAAAGAGGAAAAAAGCGAGAAAAGTGGGAGAGAAAGGAGGAACACGTATACACACACACACACACACACACACACACACACACACACACACATATACACACGTACACACCAGACGCGAGAGATAGGTAAAAAAAAATAGGTTTGCACAGAGAACTTCCACATACGATACGTACACGCGCATGGGTCAAGACTCATATTCGGCTGCGGCACGATTCCAGTGTTTCTCTGTTTCTAGTTGTTGAATGTATTAGAGATAAGAGACCTCGATCACAGCAATAGCAAATCTCCATCCCTTCCCGAGGGACCCACCCGCCCTTCCGCAGTTGTGTTTGTCATTTTCACAGTTCCGCGTGTAAGATCCGCTGACGCTAAATAGAGCTTTTATATCGCACGCGCTCACCAAAGTGACGCGATCCTTCCGAGCTTCGCGCGATTGCGTTTGCGAAAGAAATCTCAAGGGTGACTAGAGCCGCGAGCCGCGTTTTGCATCACGAGAAAAAGGGGAAAGAGGACAATGGGAAAAAACTGTCCGGTGACAGCGAAGTCTAGACGCAAAGCGAGTGCAAGCGGCGTGACGATTACGTTGATTGTATCCGTGCCGGATTGTCGAGAGTTAATCGGCTTAGTCGTGCAATGAGCGCATTTCGCATAAGTCGGGGCCTCGAAATGCCCTACGGCAAAATGTCAATTGTCCCGGACGCCGATTATCCCGAATGTCGATTCTCTCCCGTGAAAAACAACTTTAAAAAAAAAAAAAACGCAGAGAAAATTGTTTACCTTATACCACATCGAAAAAGCTGTATTTTTATATTCATATGAAAAATGCTTTATGCGAATATTTATATGGATATTTTTTATATTTATATCATGATTGTTTTGTATTTTTGATATTATACGTTGTTTACGTTTTTCTTTATGTAAAAAACGCCTGGCGCGGGCATAATCGATAGCAGGTGTGTCATATAGGCTCCTCCTTCTCCTCCTTGTTTTATATCCGGATAATCGGCGTCCCGCCGTATTGCAATTAGTGCCTCGCCTAACTCGAACTCGTCTGGAAATATCTTTATTCGCAAGAGGGAAAAAACGTCAGGCGTAAGATTTATTTGGGTTCGAACGCGCAACGTCAGTGTGGCGCAATGCGAGATGAATCTGCCTTCTGATCTATCGATCTATCGCGACTCCTGGATCGCTCCATTTAACAAAGTCTGTACTTGCACCGCCAAGTCAAGTCTCGGCTCCCTCGATTTCCCGTCAGCAAGTACTTGCCATTATTACGTTAGTTGCCATAGCCCCATACCGGTGCGGTAAAGAAGCTAGGTAGATTAAGAGCACACGATGCATTCTTGTGCGAACACACGGATCCGCAAAAAATTAGTAGGAGTATATAGTGTAAATATTAACTTGACATTCTATATATATATATATATACACACACACACATACAGATATATATATATACATAACGTATTGATTGCACTATTATATAAAAAAATATATATTATTGTCGATTATAATTTATATTTTTTATCCTTTTTTAATTTTTAATTTATGTATTTTTCTCGTTTTATCGGGACGTTGGAAAACAGGAAGTATGTGTTTCAGTCTGCCGAATCATGTTTGCTTTCGCAGATCTAAGGAGGGAGAACGAGGTCGTCTTTTGTACGATGAAATAAACGATACCACCAAATAATTACCCCGTGCAAGTAGATTTCGGCCAGCCGGTTAGATTTACAGAGCGTGACGTTTAACGCCGCGAGGGAGCGAAATTTATCGGCATCTGCGTACCGATTCGAGCGGCACGAAAGGAAATAGAGGGGAAAAAAAGGAGGAAATAAAGGAAAATCGTACGTCTCTTTTCCACCGTGATTGTTCGTCTTAAGACTGCGTTCCCCGTGCGCGTAACTATCGTACAGCAATTATCGTACAGTTAACGTGCTCCCGAGAGAGAGACCGTGTTAATTCCATCGCGGCGCGTGTTACACGTGGAAAATTGTCATGTTACACGTAATATTACGGAACCTATTTACAAACCGACAATAAGAAACGGCAGTTTTGCTCTTTATCATTTATCTATATTTAAGGTCGCTATACAGGCATATAGCGTTCGGTTACCGCACGCGCCAAGGACGAGAAATAATGTTGCGCGATAAAATGGGATAGATTCCGTACCGCAGCGACTATAATTTCATCCTTCTGTATTACCCATGTAATTTTTTTATCTTTCTTTTTTTTTCTTTTTTTTTTTTTTCTTTTGTTAAGATTGCCAGGAATAAGAAAATCGATATTTTAAGATCCAAAGGAAACGGACGGGGGAATTTAGCCTCGATCGGCCGGGATAATAAACACATTTGCAATTAATGATTATCGTGAAATATTCACGAGAAAGAAAGAATCTACGCGGAAAAAGTGCTCTCAATTCGCCTCGTTATCGTTAATCGTGCAAGAAGGAAATTGCAACGGAAAAAAAAGCGGGGCGGTCGCTATTTCATAGTTTCGTGCCGAGATCGAAGATCGCGAGACCGTTGCAATTTTCGCGAGATCAAACATCGCTACACGCGAAAATGATACCTACGTGCTTTTCTCTCTCTCTTTTTGCTTATTTTTTTTTTGCCGCGGGAACGGAGACGTCGCGATAGCCGTAAGGTTTATTTTCCCGACAACGGACGAGAATTGAGCTCGCTGGAGTTATACCCGGTATCAATCTTCGATGACGATGTGAAACGGGATCGCAATCGTATCGAGTTTCAGTCGGAGAATTGCGAGGGAGACATGAAGGGCGAAAGAGGGAGGAGGGAAAGGAAGGAAAAGGAGAGAAGCAAAAGGGACGAAGGGATGGTTTTCGCTGATGCCGTGCGATTCCGCGCGACTCCCCATAAAATGGCCTTAAAACACAGTTGATGTTTAGTATACATATGAGAAAACATTGTAACGTTTGTTAGACACAGATGTGCCGTGCGACAGATGGAGAAGATAAAAGTCCGCACGATGTCAGATCGACACGCATACGAATAGGTACGAGTGAACACGCGCACCACCCTCGCGATGATAATTAGAGGATCGGGGAATTGTTCGCGAGAGATTCGCGATATTCTGGTCGGCATTGTAACGTTGAATGCGGCACTACGATTTCCTTTTTCGTTAAATAATGATCCTACTAATTAAATAATCCTAACTGTGCCGTGTGGACCTCGAAGATTAATTAACAGCACGGGCTCTTAATTCGCGAGCGCGAATCTGAATTCCGGCGCTGAATAATGACGAGTTGGATTATGAATTATGAGGATGTAATTGCACGCGAGGGATGCGTGCGAAACGTGAAGGTAACGAGACGGAGAGCTCCACTCCTCCTCCGCGCGAGAGGAACGCTTTCTATTTTTCACGAGTCACCGGTCGTGAAATCATCGGAGATTGGAACCGGTTTAATTTCGATAAGCTCGCGAAGAATTTCGAGATGAAATTTTACGAAATTTATTTTGAAATATGAAATATGATTTTAAAAATGCATGAGTTCGAGAATCGATAGGTTGGCTGTAGAGACGTGATGAGATTACGATAACGAGCGGCATAAAAATAATTCATCCTGATAGCGCGAAAGGAAATCGGAGTCGTCGAAATTCTATCGTTTTCACCTCTCATATACAAAGTGTATAATATCTAAATCTGTAAATATTATCCGTGCGTGTTGTGCAGGAGTAATTTTCATGAGGATTAAATTGTGCGGGCAGTACAGCGTGCCTTTCTGCCACTCTTGAAGGATAATCTTTCAAGATAGACCCTTCAACTCTTAACCGGAGGGTAAAACCATACCCTTTCGCATGAAGGGATCATAAATTACAATGTTAATGAAGTTAATAATTTACAGCACAGAAACGCTAGTAATGAGTAATAAATAATCGGGTGATGGATAGATCGATATCGATGACGTGTCAAGTTTCTCGATTCTTTTACCGCGCTCGTGTTTCATGCTTCCGGTTAGGGCTTGCGAACCCTCGTT